TATGTATATATACATATATTGTACATATATATATATATATACACACACACATATATATCTATTTTTTTTCTTACAAAAGATAATTTTATATTTTCACAAGACTGGAATATGCATAAATACTCACTCAACAAGGCTTATGGCCTTTGGCTGAGGAAAATTTATTCTATTCTCAGGTTCTCAATCATATATATAATATATATATATACATATATCTATTTTTTTTCTTACAAAAGATGATTTTATATTTTCACAAGACTTGAATATGCATAAATACTCACTCAACAAGGCTTATGGCTTTTGATTGAGGAAAATTTATTCTATTGTCAGGTTCTCAATGAGAAATACTCCTTTGTCTAATAGGTGTGGACTGTTTTAAAAGATCTCCCCTTTTTCTGACCTATATCTGTGCAGATGGCCTAATTCATTTATATGAAAGGCTAACTGGTGGAGCATCAACTGTGAGATACAGGGATTGCCTGATGGACAAAAGGCCAGATCTAAAAATACTATAATTTTGTGTCTCCTTTTGATTCCTAGCAAACTGTGAATACCAAGAGAACATTAAGAACCTCTGGCACTTAATGGGTTTTATGTATCAGATCATAACAAAAACACTCGATTCTTAGCAAATCAAAAAGAAAAAATCTCTTAAATTTGAGATTTCATGACATACATCTGTGAAGCATGGGTATGGTAACTAAGTAGCGAAATTACAAAGGAAGAAAAAACAAGTATACAGCCACAGATTGTGGCTCAGTAATTGGGGAGATTAAAAACGACAACAAAGATTTAAAATGTCTCGTATTCTGCCAAAGGAGAGGTTCGTTAAGGAAATCCATCACAGAAATGGATGCCTGTGTTACCGTTGAAGCTCAGCCCAAACACCCAAACTTCTGTATAAAGAGAGGACTAATGTCTGTATATGTCAAACTAAAGCTGAACCATATTTACATGCATATTTTTCCATTAGATTATTTCAAAGCCCAATCCAGGACTTAGTTTGGAGGTCAGATGTTCGTCTACTTTATATCCTGTACAACAACAATCAATCTTCTTCTGAGATGTGGTTACCTGTTTATTATGCAACACTGTATTTCAGGTAGTGTTGCACCGATGCCCGATACCTGGCAGTGCAGTATAGGCCGATACCGATACAATCTGTTTAAAATTGATGTGTGTGTGTATATATATGAAGAACTGCATACTACTTGGATGTAAAATAATTGCCATCATGGCTTTGTGAAGCAGGAAACAGACTAAAACAAAGTGAATCTAGTAGAACTTTTTATTGCCTACCTGGAATGAGTGACAATAGTTAAATAAACTTTTGGCCCTAAAAATGGTATCGGTGCCCTATTTGCAGGTACTCGCCAACACTATTTCCAGGTGCATAACAAAAGGAAGAAAAGCAGATAGATAAACACTCAACAACACAAGGCATTGTGTTAGATCTTTAATATTTTCAATATTTAGTTTCTTTTTGTTGTCATTTTAGAAATATTGCACATGGTCAACATGCCTGCTTATGAGATAACACTCACATCGCTCATCCTTAAAATTCCTTCTCCAAAGTAAGGACAGTTTTATTTTAGAAGCACAATCATACACTTTACACGCATACATGTGTGTGAACGCACGCATGTCTGTGCGGGCGTGTGCAAGTGTGCACGTGTTTGCACATGCATGCAGATCGACACTTAACAGCCCTAAAGAACCCCCCCTCCCTAAAAGTGAGGTGAACCGATCCTCTATAATTACCTTTGTGTGTTGATTTATATTTATGCATTAAAAGGTGTATCCTGCGTATGTTTTGTATATATTTATACACGCTTCCTGAATCAGCTGAGTTTATTAACAGTCTATATGGCTGAGGAAATAGTCGCGGTGACTATAAAAATACCATCTCTTGAGTAGAATATAGAATGGAAAAATATGCTTGATGATGTTGCTGAGTGGTGACAGGAGAAGAGGTCGGTCGTGTTGACAAACTGCCTGCATGTGCCAAAACATACACATCTCCCAAACACAGACATAAATGCACAAATATGGAAATACCTGTAATATATTTATATATATATATATATATATATCTATACATATAGATATATATATATATATAGTCACACATCCAACTCTATACAGCGAAATAAAAGAGATACCCATAATAAGAACTACCCCCACTCTTCACCAAAGAAGCAAAGAGCCAAAAAAGTGCTATTCAAATAATTGTTGTTGACTTTTAGTAAGTTATACTCTCTATCTCCTTAATGTTGATAATATTTGTGATTCTTTTTTGTTTTTTTGCTGTTTTTTTTAACCACAGTTCAAGATCACAACAGCTCTTTCCTCACACTGACTGCACTGAATTAAAAAAATCTATGGCACAGAGCCTCGCTTCTCCCCCCCCCCACAAAAAAGTTAATAAAAGCCATTTCCAAAAGAAATAAATGTCCTATTGCACCATTTGATGGGAAAGGATAAAGTGTCAAGACGAGAGGGGAGGGAGGAGGGGGGGGGAGGGCTCCAGGGTCTGCCCTCCAGGGCTGGTCTAGGATCTGCTTTCCCTGAACTGAACCCTAACCAGAACCATCCTGAGCTACATAGCGCTTGACCCGAGACCAGTGCTTAAGGGCACTTTCTAACAACACTGGAAGGGTGAGGAGAGTCAGAGGGGAGGGAGATGGAGGGGGGGTGGGGGAAACATATGGAAAGAGGCTATTTTACTAAAACAATCTCTTAAAAACAATACTTTCCTGATTGAACTTGTGGCGATCCCCTGACAACAAGGGGACGCACAAAATGTGCAAACACCTGATTTTAACATTTAATTTTTTTTTTTCAAAATATGAAACCACCAAACATCCCTGCCCCGCCCTGTTTCTGAGTCTGGCCAGGAACCGTCAGAAGGAGGGGTGGAAAGGGAGGGCACGGACTGATTTACCCCCCCTCCCATTTTGTGTCCTTTCTTTTCTTTCCTTCTTTTTTTTTTTGTCTTTTAAATTTTTTGTCTTTTTATGCTGGAGAAGAAACACATTAGAGCCACGAGAGAAAGAGAGAGCGAAAAAAAAAACAGGCCACGGTAAAACTGGTTATTTCCACGGCAACAATGACGAGAGAAAAATCAACATGGACTCCATCCAGAGGAGGGATTCTGAGAAGTTTGGTTGAGTTCCTGCTTTTCCTTCCTGTCGGTGAGCTCGTCACATTCGGTCCAGTGCTGGAGTTTCCGCCTCCAAATCGCCACAACCAGTAGTCTCGTTACGTAATCTCTTTATGGTGCCCGTTCAAACAGCTTTCAGGGGATCGGACCCCCCCTCTCCCTCCCAGACATACAGACATAGATATTCGGCTCCTGCCTGTGAAGCTCTCAGTCTGTTATAATGGCAACAGCTGAAGGTGCAAAGATTGGTCACACTGCATCCAGACTCTTCCGTCTCTCACTACAATCACTAGAAAGAGTGCAGGCCGATGGCTTCGTCAGACCCGGGTTTGATTATCTTTGTGTTCGCACTGCATATGTGTCTACGCATGCCTCCGTGTGCGCGTGCCGACTGTCCTGCAGCATCGAGGGGCTGTTGAAATATCAGTGGAGGTCGCTGGGGTTGTGTTTGCGGCCCGACCACGGTGCTGAGGAGTGGAAGGGCGCCAAGGAGGTCAAGTCAATGGCATCTGAGGGGTGGCTGGCTGGCTGGCAACAGCAAACTGCATCTGCACGCTAAGTGACATAGTGCCTTTGTGTGTTGTGTCCTTGGTTGTGGCTCCGGGGGGACGAACAACCAAGAGTAACAGTCTAATTTGGTTCCTGTGTGGGTGGTGTGTGCACGTGTGTGTGTGTACCAGAGAGATAGAGAGTGTGTACCGAAGAGTTTGAGTCCCAAACTCCTTCAATGTGCTGAGAGCAGACCTGGGCAAAACCTTCAAGAAAAACATTCAGGATAAAAGGAAATTCAAGAAGCACTTAACTCATCACGCCTTGCATGTGGTTTAAACACTTCAAGGTCTGATTAGACAATCAAATCCTGTCTGGAGGTGTCTTATAATTTCAGCTGTTATGTCTGTTTTTTTTGTTTTTGTTTTTTTGCCCAGGTCTAATGGGAATCAGTGCCAGTGGAACCAGTCCTGTTCTGGTTATCACACACACTTCTCTCTTTCCGTTTTACGGTCCTTCGCTTTTCGGCTCCTCCGAGCTCTGGCCTTTGTCTCCCTGATGCTCCGTCCCTCCGTCGTCCCGCGTCGACTGACTGGAGGACGAGTGGTGGGACGGGGAAGGCCCGGCGTCGGAGGACCCCCCAGGCTCCAGTGTTCCTGGCGTGGCCGTCTGCATGATCTTCTGACGAACCTCTCGGATCTTCAGCTGCAGACACACTTTGGTGGGGAAAGTGTCCGGGAAACGCGCCTGGAAGGCGGCTGTGGCCTGAGCTGGACAGATAAGATGGAGGAAGGAGGGAAATTTAAACAAGAGGTACAAAATCTGAACAAATAAAAAAACATTTTATCTTAAAAAAAGAGGAAATGTAACGTCTGAGGGCAAATATGGCTCTGAACTGTAAAGGGTTCAGATCAGAAGTGGGTAGGAATTAATAATGGTTGGCAGGCTTTTAGCTAGCAATGCGTAACGGCCGTACATCGTACGCCCCTTACTAAAAAAATGAGAAATTGTACGCCCTTTTTTTGGGATTTACAGCTTTGTTACGCTCTAAGTTTCCCCTGGAAATTTCGTTCAGATGTTCACCATTTCACAAGCAGCAGATTCTGGAGTCATCAACCAATCAGAGAAGCTGATCTTGGAGCTGCAGAGCAACAGAAACAGCGTTGCTGATGCAGAGCGCTATGATCACTCCTCTGAAACTTTATTTAACTTAAAATGTGAAAAGCCACCAGCAAAATATGTTTGCTTTTATTATCCTGATGCCTGCAGCTTGTGCCACATACCTAAAAAACGCAAACATCTACTTCTAGTCACCACCAACAATAGGGGAAAACCTCCAAGAGGCACCGCCTGTATATGGGGTCTGAGCAGCTCCCAGGATGAGGCAGGATGGTAATCTGGATGAACTGACTGCACAGACGATGTTTTCAGGGGAACTTTCTCGCATAAAAAAATATTAAAACTACTTTTTACCCACTAATCACAGAAAATATAGCAAAGCCGCTCTCTGCCATTGAAGAAAGGAGCAGCAGACGCATCTGGACACATTTTACTGTACTAACTGACCTGTGTTCAAGCATAAAAAATGAAGCAGCAGACGCTGCTGATTGTTATGATCGTTTGAATGAACCTATGAAACATAATATTGTACCTAAACATTATACATTATCTCATGTCTTTCTTATGAAATTTCCACCTCTAGTGAAGCATATATATACAGAAGAGGATTAGGGCCACTGAAAAAAAAAACAAGTTAACTGATTTT